CGCAGCAGCCACTAGCCCGCAGCAGTGTCCCACAAACAGTCGTGAATCGAGTGACCAAATTATTATTTTTTTCTTTAAGGATTATTATCCCCGGAAAAGCGATCTGCCAATCGACTAACAACCAGGTTCCTACTTACTGCAAAGTAAACAGAGGATTGTGGAGTAAGGAAACTTGGCCAACATTTCACCCTGCCCGGGAATAGAACCCAGGTCTCTCGCTTGCGAGATGAGTGCTCTAACAACAACAACAACAACAAGATTCCATTTACAGAGCGCCTTTCACGTCAGGAGGACGTCCCAAGGCGCTGTACAGTTGGGTCAGGACCCGAGCAGGGGGGAAATTGTCAGGATGAGGGGAGGGAAGGGAGGGAGCGAGGAAGGGGTAGAGAGTCGAGAGGGGAGCTGAAGGCACAGTCAAAGAGAAAGGTCTTGAGACCGGCCTTGAAGGAGGAAAGGGAGGAGGCGGCGAAGGCACTGGGGGATAGAGTTCCAGAGCCTCGGGGCTGAGAGGCTGAAGGCTCAGCCACCGATGGTAGGGCCGTTGGGGCGGGGGATGTGGAGCAGACCGGAGCCAGAGGAACGGAGGGTACGGGCGGGTAGGTAGGGGGATAGTAGGTCGGAGAGGTAGGAGGGAGCAAGGCCGTGAATGGCCTTGTAGGTGAGGATGAGGATCTTGAATTCGATCCTCTGGGGGATGGGGAGCCAGTGGAGGCGAGCGAGGGTGGGAGTGATGTGGTCGCGGTGTCTGGTGCGGGACAGTACACGAGCTGCAGAGTTCTGGATGACCTGCAGTGTGGAGGGAGGTGGCGGGAAGGCCGACGAGGAGAGAGTTCCCATAGTCCAGCCTTGAGGTGATAAAGGCGTGGACCAGAGTTTCAGCCGCGTGAGGGGTGAGGTAATGGCGTAGTCTGGTGACATTGCGGAGGTGACGGAAGGCGGTGCCAGTTGTGGTGCTGATGTGGGGGAGAAAGGACAGCTCAGGGTCGAACAGAACCCCGAGGTTCCTGATGGCTTTGAGAGGTGGAGAGTGCAGCCTTGGATGCTGATGCTGTCAGTGCCTGAGGTTCGGAGGCGCTGACGTGAGCCAATCAGGAGGGCCTCAGTTTTGCGCACGTTGAGCTGAAGAAAGTTATCTCTCGTCCAGGACTCGATGTCGGACAGACAGCTGTCAGGACATCGGTGGTCGTGGTGTTGAGGGTAGAGGAGGAAAGGTAGAGTTGGGTGTCATCCGCATTCATACTAACCACTGAGCTACAGGACTACATATCTGGAATGTTAACAGCATCAGTTCTTTCAGATGGATAAGAGATGTATGGGGCACTCACTTTTGATTTTAATGCTTTGTACCATGACAGGTCCAGATAATGAAGAAAACTGGAAGTATTGATATTGAACAATCTCTGAAAGTTAAATAACAATTTACAAGTCTGGCCTTACCAACCGGTCAGTTTTCATAAGGAGTAATTAAATAATAAATGACTGAATAGTAATAATAATCCTTGCATTTGATATATATAGCACCTTATCACATCATTGAGATGTCTCAAAGCACTTCATAGAACAGGCTGTATATTTTGTGAGTGAAACCTGGCAGCAAATTGCGCACAGCAGGGTTTATTATTATTATTAAAAATTATTATTTTTTCGGGGAGGAATTATTATCCCCGAAAAAGCGATCCGCCAATCGACTAACAACTGGTTCCTACTCACTGTTAGGTAAACAGAGGTGTGTGGAGTAAGGAAATTTGCCTAAGGTTTTGTCCTGCCCGGGAATCAAACCTCTCGCTTGCGAGGCGAGCGCTCTAACCACTAAGCTGTTGGACTCCGCCTGCTGTTTTTCTCTAGCCACACATCACCCGCCTCAGTCAGTACCTCAAACCCAACACAGCTGAAATCCTCATCCTAGCTTTTTGTCACCTCTGCAATGATCTGATAAACCGCTGGAACAGGCTGGAGGGGCCAAATGTCCTCCTCTTCCTTCAAACCCTTCATTTGAACTAATCACTAGATGGGTTCCGATCAAGTAGACTCCTCGACCCATCTGATCTCCTCCCTCCAGAACACCCAACCTACTGTTCCCCCCATCACAGCATCCAGCTGCTTTTTAAATGAGTCCCAGTGTCCTGGCCTCAATCCCCCTTCCTGGTAACCTGTTTCAGTCGTTAATTACCCTCTGGGTAAAGAAACACTTCCTGGTGTCTGTCCTGAAATTGCCCCTTTACAGCTCTAACCCTGTGTCCTCTTGTTCTGCTGTCTCGATGCACCCGAAAGTAATGATCTGGGTTCACTTTTTAAAATCCTATTTAAAATGTTACAACCTCTACAAGGTCCCCTCTGAGCTGTCTTCTCTCAAGACTGAAGAGCTCCAGCTTGTCTAATCATTGTTAAAAAAAAGCCAGCTGGATTCTGTGACGGGAGAGTGGGGTGTGGGTAGGTTGGTTGTTAAGTTCAATTCAGATGGACCGAAGGATCTCCTTCACCTGATCCAATCGGGTGATATTGCCTGTTCCCATGTGGTGCTGAGTCCAATTCAAACTTGTGACAAACCTGGTGTCAGTGAAATCAAATGAACTAGTTTAATTGGAGGAAATGCACTACAGTGCAATTCAACATAGGGATAATGCCAGAGTGGGTACAGCAGAGGGCACTATTCACATTAATCCTCCTGCTTAACAGTAGATCTCTATTTTGCTCAACCGAGTGTCTGACACATGCGGAAACCCATCACTGTGCTTAAGAGCATCCAAACCAAGCTGAGGTCTCCCTGCATCCCTCCCACACATGGAAATCCAGAGAGAGATTGTTGGAATGGAATGCGCACTCTCTCCCTGGAGGGACACATCCTGTTTACCTAATTCTGGAGGGTATTAGCCGCAGGTTGACAAAAGCCGAGACTTGGGGACCCCAGAGTGTGCATTGGGGCAACTGCTGGAGTGTAACCAGCATAGCTTTCCATTGAGAGCACTATCTGGCAAGCTTTCCCGCTGCTTGTCCAGTTTGAAGATAGGAAGGATGGGAAAAGGCGGAGGGATAGGGAGAGAGTTCCAGATTTTCAGGGCGTAATGGCCGAAAGCACGGCCACCAATGGTGGAGCGGAGGGCATGAGAGACAAACAGGAGGCTGGAGCCAGTCAAGCGGCGACAGTGGGTTGTGGGTTGGGGAGTAAGCCTGTTGAAGAGGTAGGGAGGTGCCAGGGCAGGAAGGGATTTGAAGACGATTGTGAGGATCTTGAATAAGTGTGTGACTGTGAGTGGATGAGTGTGATTGTGTGAGTTGATGAGTGAGTGTGAATGAGTATGCATGAGTGTGCAAGTGACAACGACTGGCATTTAAATAGCGCTCTTCATGCGAGGTAGCATCCCGGGAGTACTTGAGTGACCGTGTGTGTGAGTGCGTGTGATGCATTTTCCAACACCAGACCAGACACGGTGGGTTTAATCACTTTAATAATATTAACTCGCTACAAAAATGTGAAAGGAGGAAAGGGGTTTCTGTGTAACTAGCCACAAGTGACATTTCATTAAAAACCTGTCCGTTTCATCTATATCGCATCAATGAACACACAGCTTAGCCGGTTGCTGTATGTTTGTACAATAGATCTCTAAAATACGTAAGCAACAATAAATATTTTTAAAAATCCACATGGTAATAACAAGCAAAGTACAATATCCTTATAAAAACTACATTGTATCTTTCATAAATAATCACTTTTTTTACATTGCAAATTTTCACCATTAGTGCAAGTGTCCCTAATCTCACTGTCGACAGCTTGTAAATCTTTGAGCTATTAAGGTTCCCTCCTGGGCAGTGGGGTGAGCCTTAACAATACATTGTTCCTGACCATTCATCACTTAGAAGTCATCAGTTATCAGTTAATAATAATAATTCTTCCATTTGATTTAGTGCCTTGTCACGTCTTTGAGACGCCTCAAAGCGCTTCACAGAATATACTGTACTGTAAAGTGTAGTGACTGTGAATTTTGTGGGCGAAACGTGGCAGCCAAATTGCACACATCAGGGTCCCACAAAGAGTCATGGATTGAGTGACCAAATTATTATTTTTTTAGGAGGGATAATTGCCCCTGGAAAGTGATCCGCCAATTGATTAACAAGTGGGTTCCTACTTACTGCTAGGTAAACAGAGGCATGTGGAGTAAGGAAACTTGCCTAAGGTTTCACCCTCTCTCTGTCTTTCTTTCTCTCTGTCTCAGTTATCAGTTATCCCCAACGCAGAAATTCTTCAATGAGTAAATGGTTTGTCCTTATGTTTTACAGTCACTGTTTACTCAAACGCAACAGACATGGCTGCACTCTCGAAGGTGCAAAATGCACCCCCTACCCTCACCCCCATTCTAAGCCTCACCCCCGCGTTACTCTCACCAAGCAGGCAGTGTGCAGTCTCTCCTCCTGTCTCTGACCCTGTACTTTAGCGGGAGATCTTTCGAGCTAATAATAATCAAGCCAAAAATGTATAAATCACATCACCTCAGCACTCACGTCCACGGTTACAAACATAAAACAGGCCACACTTGGCCCGGGAATAATGCTGACTGGGAACCTATGCTTCCCGTGAATGCAATAAAGGGGATTACCAGTGCGTTCCACCATCACAACATCCAAGGAGGTTTGGGCTGTGACACCAGTTGCTAGGGTAATGGCTGGTGATCAGGGATGAACCTACATACAACAGAGCAGCTCTCAACATTGCCACATTGATGTGGCTGAGCGCAGTGTATGGAGTGGAGGTGTGTTGGGGGTTGTCTAAGGGGAGGTGGGGAGGTTGAGGGGGTGTTGAAGGCGTGTGAAATCCCGAATCCCCGCAGTGAGCTAAGTAATACGTGTTTGAGCAACTCAGCGTTCACTGTTCGTGCTTTGGAGAGCTTTTTGTATCTAGCAATAAATAATTACAGGTACGAGGGGAAGACAATTGCAAACTAGACAGAGAAGAGATATGTGAACGTGTGCGTGTATGTGTGGTGAGCATGTATGTGTGTGTGTATTCGGTATGTGTGTGTGTCTGTGTGTGTGTGTGTGTGTGTGTGTGAGTGTGTGAAACACCACAATTAGATGAGATGAGTGACTGTCCTGGGAACAGTCTGGGTACCCGCTGGCCTGGCTCTAGCCTTTAGCCACTTCCCAGCATCTTGGTGGCTCGTTGGTTGGCTTCATCGATCCTTGTCTTGTTGGATTCGGCCTGAGGGCAGACAAGAGACAAGATCAACGGTGGCAGTTACACAATGTGGGCACGAAGGGGGGCAGTGAGGCACACACCGAGATTCGGGGTCTTTGAGAGGCTTAGCCGCTGGCACGATTGCCTTGCGGTCAAAGGAATGTAGGTTCATGTCAAGTCCATTGGGAGGGGAGGGATGCGAGGATCGGGAGCGCTCTCCCAGCCTAGACTGCTTTAGTTACAGCTCACGGATTTGAGGGTGAGCTGTGAGTAAGGTCCCCTTAGGGCTGAACTGGCTCCAAGGTGACATATTTGTCAAAAGGATGTTGGAATCGAGCCAGGCCTCTGTGACGGTCTCTAGTCCGTTTCCTGAGTGGGAAGGGTCCACAGTATTCCAGGGCACTGCTGACTACAGCACAGCCCGGCCCGGCTCATCAGCAGCACCTGGAATGGCAGAGCAGTCACTGGGAGCAGAGAGTCATCCCACTCAGATCAAATGAGTTCATTATTGTTATCAAGTTGGGAACAGAGAGAGGTGAAGGTTAAGGGTACGAGGTTGACGGAAGGTGCGGTCAAAGAGCAAGGCTTGAGACAGACCTTGAAGGAGGCAAGGGAGGGTGGCGGGGGTGTGAGGTGGAGGGACTGTAAGATGGAGTTCCAGATGGTGGGGGCAGAGAGGCTGGAGGCCCGACCGCCGATGGTGGAGTGGGTGGGGCGGGGGATGTAGAGCAGGCCGGAGCCTGCTGGGCCGAGGGAACGGACAGGTTAGTGAAGCTTTAATAGCTCGCTGAGGTTATGGAGGAGCGGGGCCGTGGAGGGCTTTAAAGGACGAGGACGAGGATTTTGAACTCTATCCTCTGGTGGACGGGGATCGAGTGGAGCCGGGCGAGGGCGAGGGTTGGGGCGAGGTGGGGTGGTGATAGGGTCACTGAGTTGTAATGTCAACGATTTGCCACGTTGCGCTCTGACCTTCTCCATGATCCTGTCCACTTGGCGGTTCTGGGTGTCGATCTCGTTGCCCATGTCCAGGGCCATGTGACGCAGGTTCCCAATGATTCCGCTCACCTGCTCCAGGTTCTCATCCATCTCGTTCTCCCGGGCGTCATTCGTCACCCTGTGCCACAAGTAACCTTTACACACACTGTGCACACCCACGCTACACACACGCGTGCTGTACACACATCCTGTACACACGCTGTACACACACACGCTGTAAACACACACACACGCTGTACACATAACACAAGTTGTATACACACCCACGCTGTACACACATACGCTGTACATACATGCTGCATACAGCCTTCCCTGTACCTGATGTCCACCCAGTCAGGCCTTAAACCCACGCTTCTCACATGTCAAATGACCGACTTGTGATTATCCTCCAGATATCCTCCGTTGTGTAAATACAACAACTTGCATTTATATAGCGCCCTTCAGGTGGGGCAGCGTCTCACAGTACAGTGCACAAATATATAGTCAATTCACTTTGTAGTATATTCTATGAAGCGCTTTGAGACGTCTAGAAGAGTTTTGGGGTGTAGCAGCTAAAGGCACGGCCACCGATGGTGGAGCGGAGGGGACGAGAAACAAACAGGAGGCTGGAGCCAGCCGAGTAGAGGCAGAGGGTTGTGTAGTCGGTGTGAGCAGGTTGGAGAGGTAGGGAGGTGCGAGGGCATGAAGGGATTTGAAAACGACTGAGAGGATCTTGAAATCGATCCATTCTGTGATTGGGAGCCAATGTTGCCTGGCGATGACTGGTGTGTTGGAGGGACGGGTTTTGTGGGCGTGAGTATGCGGGCGGTGGAGTTTTGGATTCATTGAAATTTATGTTTGTTGGAGGTGGGGAGATCAGCCTCGGTTTAACATCTCACCTAAAGGACAGCATTTCTGACAATGCAGGGCTCCCCCCAGCACTGCACTGGAGCATCAGCCTGGACTGTGAGCTCAAAGTCCTCGACGTGGGGCTTGAACCCACAACCTCCTGACCACGGCTGTTTGTGGGACGCTGTTGTTCACAATTGGCTGTCGCGTTTTGCCCACAAAGCACATAGTCAATTCATTTTACAGTCTATTCTGTGAAGTGCTTTGAGATGTGTCGAAAATGTAATAAGGCGTGATATTAAATGTAAGGATTATTATTATTATTAATGATCTGACCTGCGGATGAAGCCTCCACTGATCGCCATCTGCTCACGTTCGTCCATGACCCTGGCCGCAGGCTGGCTGGCCACCACCCCATCCTGGTTGTTGCCCCAGGCTTTCTTGTAAGCATCGCTGGACTTCAGTCTGTACGATTTAACAGTGTATCACAACATGGGTGGGTCACAGGCAGCCAGTAAACTCTCCCCAGGTCACAGCTACCCTGGGTCGAGAGCTGCTTTTTGTATAAATGGGGTCTGAGCAGATGGTAATCACATTAGCAATCTCTATCACACCATCTATCAAACGATGGGATCTTGTGTCAGGATAAATACTAAAGCTTGTCAAGCACATTCATAAATTGCTCGCATAACAAATATTTGAAAGCTACCCAATTAAAAAAGTATTTCATTGTGATATTTCAGGTAGACGGACAGACAGACACACAGACAAACACGAACCCAAACAGACAGACAAACACAAAACTAGAAAAACCGACACACAAACTAACACAAACCCAGACAAACAGACACACAGGCAAACACAAACCCAGACAGCACAAACCAAGACAGACAGACAAGATGGACATAGACAAGATTATCAGGTAGATCGGACACAGCACGTACGGAAATTAGATCGTTCTGCTGGGAGAGGCTTTAACCCTGCATCATTTTTTTTCTCTAAAAAAAAATAAAGACACTAAACTGGAACCATTTACTGTGTAAAACAAAACTAAATGCAATCAGTACAGATTGTTGCAGCGCTCAGTCAGAAATAATCCGTCAGAGAAATGAACACAGCCCCTCCCGGGAGTTAGGGTTTGCTTTGTTAACGTAACCTGGGTCACATCGAAAAGTTACACTGAAACTAAAGCCAACAATTTCATGTCGGAATAGAATATGGGGTGGGGAGGCTGTCTGATTGCTTTGGCCGGGTATCGATAACTGATGTAACAACCTTCAATGTACAGAGAAGCAAAGTAAAAACAGAACAGAAGTAAAATCAACGGTACACAAAAGCGAGCAGGGGTGGGGGAGAGGGGGGAGCAGGAGGAGAAAGGGCTGTGCTTTTGTTCATGCTCAGCGTCTGGACCTGAAAAAGGAAAATGGGAAAGCGCATTCAGGCGGTAACAGGCCGAGCAGCGGCAATAATGAGCTGAGCACAAGGCTCACCGGCAATCCACAATCAGGTTAACATCGCAAAGTCGTAAACAGCAACTGGCAGCAGAGCCACAATAATAGTGTTCAACAGCAGCCAAGTGTGTGTATATACATCTATGTAAATCTGTGCAGCTGACAATAATACAGGTGATCGATCATCAGATCACAAGATCCGTTTGGATGTTTTTTAAACAAGTCCCAGTGACCTGGCCTCGACCACCCCCCTTCCTGATAGCCTGTTCCAATCATTAATTACCCTCTGAGTAAGAAAGACTTCCTGGCGTCTGTTCTGAAATTGACCCATTTCAGCTCTAACCCTGTGTCCTCTTGTTCTACTGTGTGTCGGAGCCTTAGGAAGTCCTCCTGACTTGATGTGTGAGTGGGTGTCTGTATGAGTGTCTGTGTATCTGTGAGTATGTGAGTGTGTGTGAGTGTGTTTGTGTATGTGAATATCTGTGTGTGGGTATCTGTGTGTGAGTATATATGTGTGTATGTATGTGTGTGAGTATCTGTGTATATCTATCTGTGTGTGTATGTGTGTGAGTATCTGTGTGTGTATAACTTGCTCCTTCCGTTTGAGCTGCTAACCCCTTAACAACCTATCCGCTCCCTCCACTCAGCAGGCTCTGGCCTGTTCCATGTCGCCCCCCTGCCCCACCATCGGCGGTCAAGCCTACAGCCTCTCTGTACCCAGCCTTCGGATCTCCATCCCACAGCCCCTTCACGTTGCTCCCTCCGTTACCTCCTTCAAGGCCCATCTCAAGACCCTCCTCTTTGACTGTGCTTTTGGCCACCCTACTACCCCTGCCCTCCACCCTCCTGATCCCAACTCCCAGCTCGGGTCCAAATCCCTGACTGTCCAGCGCCTTGGGATATCTTCCCGACGTAAAAGGCGCTGTGTAAATGTCATTCGTTGTTGTTGTTGAATGTATTTCAACGTCTCTCATCATCTGCGCATGTCACTCGTACTAATACTCACACTCATACTAATCTTGCCTCTAATGCCAACAGTGTGGAATCCTGTAGCTCAGTGATAGAGCACTCGCTTTGCAAGCGAGAGACCTGAGTTCAATTCCAGGCAGAGAGCGAAACCTTGGGCAAGTTTCCTTACTCCACACAGAGCCTATAATAATCCCTCCAAAACCCAAAACAATAATAAATTGGTCATTTTCAATCCACGACTGTTTGTGGGACATTGTGCGCAATTGGCTGCCACGTTCGCCCTCAAATATACAGTCAATTCACTTTACAGTGTGTTCTGTGAAGCGCTTTGGGACGTCCTCCCGACGTGAAAAGCGCTATATCAAATGCAAGGATTATTATTATTATTATTAATGCTTTTAGCTGGTGCCTTGGATGCTCGGACTTTCCGGTGGGTTGATGGGCAGACAGACAGACAGGCGAGCAAACTGGCAGACAGGCGGACAGGCAAGGCAGGTCTGGGCAGGCAGTCCGGGCAGGCAAGCAAAGCAAGTCAAGGCAGGCAAGGCAGACAGACAGGCAGGGCAGACAGGCAGGGCCGGCAGGCAGGTGGGCAGAAAGGCAGGGCAGGCAGGATAGGAGGGCAGGAAGGCCACGCAGGGCAGACAGGCGGGCAAGGCAGGCAGGGCAGACAGGTAGGGCTAAAGGGCAGGGCAGACAGGCAGGGCAGACAGGCAGGGCAAGCAGGGCAGACAGGCGGGCAGAGCAGGCCAGGCAGGGCAGGCAGACACCTACTTGTTACACGGACACGAACAAAGACCACAGAATTTTCCTAGATCTGTCAAATTCTTTTCGGCTTCTTTCATGTCCTTATTGATCTGCTCCATCCCCTCCTCGATACGCTCCAATTGCTCTGATCAAACACAAGAGGGTTGTCAAGACCCCGACACAATGAGATACAAGTGGACAAAAGAGAGAATAATAATAATAATAAAAAGACAAAGAGAAGATACAAAACACACATTAACAAATTAATTCAAATAAAATGACAATATAGAAAACATCTGGACAGTGACTGTTGACAGCTGGACACATCACAGCGGGAGAGCCAGCACTGAGTACCTACTTGTTACAGGGGCATATGAAAAGACCACAGCACTTCCCTAAATCTGTTAAAGTTTTCTCAGCTTCTTTCATGTCTTGGTTGATATGGTTCATGCCATCTTCCACTCGATCGAGTTGCTCTGGTCAGGATAAAGGGATGACAGCGGTGCAATCAAAGCCGTTTGGGTTGTTGAGTCCTTTTGTTTTGGTGGGTGACCAGGACCGCTTTCCTCCACCTCCGCCACATTACCCACTTCCGACCGTACCTTACCCCAGACGCAGCTGAAATACTAGTCCGTGTATTTGTCACCTTCCGCCTGGACTATTCAGATGCCCTCCTCGCCGGTCTCCCCAGCTCCACCATCCACAAAATCCAGCTGATTGCAAACTCCGCCACCGGCATGCTCACCCCGACTAAACTCCGTACCCTCATCACACCAGCTCCACAGGCTGCCTATCTCCGAACGGATCAATTTCAAGATCCTCTTCAAATCCCTTCATGCCCGGGCACCTCCCTACCTCTCCGATCTGCTCATCCCCCAACCCACAACTCGTTGCCTCCGCTCGACTGGCTCCGGCGTTTTCACCCACTACACCCTGAAACTCTCGAACACTCTTCCTCTATCCCTCCGCCTTTTCCCTTCCTTCCCCATCTTCAGGTCACTCCTGAAGATCTTCCTATTCGACCGTGACTACGGTCACTTCCCCCTCCCTCAAGTCATGCTCCGCCACTGTCAAGCGCTCTGTGACACTACCCTGCGTGAGAGGCGCTATAAAAACGCAAATTGTTGCAGTTGTTGTAGCAATCCTTTCATTGCCTTACACGCAGGAATCTCTGTAATATTGAGGTCTGTAAACCATGATTTTTAATGCTTATTATTGGTATTTTTGGCCCTCTGCTTGCTCCACGTCTGCTGCCCAACTCACTCCTGCCCAGGTGTGTAATTGGTGGTACTGGGCTCAGTGATTTCTGCTGTGAGACATGGGTGTTAGAATTTGGGTTTGTTTGTAAATTTGCCTGAAGATTTATAGAAAGTTCAGTGCATGAACGGGCCAATGTTACACAAACAAAGTGGGATTTTTCAGCTTACCTCCCTGTTCATCCAGCATAACCAAGGTTCTGATTCCTGCATCCTTACTCTACTCTCCAGACAGTGAGACAGGAAGAGGGGGAGAGAGAGACAGAGAGAGATAATGATTAGACAGCAATGCTTTGCCTAATACTTGCCTGTCCACTCCTCTGCTCAGCGGGCTCAGGCCTGCTCCATATCCCCCGCCCGGCCCACCCCGCCATCGACGATCTGGTCTTCAGCCTCTCTGCCCTACGCCTTAACGCCATCCCACATTCCCTTCGCCTCGCTCCCTCCCATGCCTCTTTCAAGTCATGTCTCAAGACCCTCCTCTTCGACTGCACCTTCAGTAACCTCCTATCCTGTCCCGCCCTGCCCTCCACCCCTCTTCATCCTAACCCCCAACTCGTGTCCAAATTTGCACACAGCAAAGTCTCCAACAAACAGTCATAAAGTGAACGAGAAATTAATTCCAGCCCTAACGGGTAATGTGGTCCTAACCAGGCAGCGGGAAAGCTTGCCAGACAGCTATATCAACGATAAGCTGAGTGATTTTATCTGGTTAGACTCCAGCAGTTACCCCAATGCACACTCTGGTGTACCCGAGCCTTGGCTCTTGCTAACCTGCGCCTAATACTTTCCAGAATTAGGTAAACAGGATGTGTCCCTACAGGGAGAGAATGTGCATTCCATTCCAACAGTCTATCTCTGGGATTTCCATGTGTAGGTGGGATGCATGGAAACCTCAGCTTGGTTTGGAGACTCTTAAGCACCGTGATAGGTTTCCGCATGTGTCAGATACCCGGCTGAGGAGAAAGGAAGGAACCTACTCTGTGCTTCTGTATTCCCTTAACTGCCCTGGAACAGCAGGAGTGGAAAGTAAACAGCTGTAAAACTCCACCCATGATCCACTCCCACCACAATGTGCACCCGACTGGAATTAACCTGCCCTGGTATGTAAGCAAAGCTCCTCAGCTCCCAGGAGACATCGGACAGGTTCCAGCTTTTCTCTCTCTGCCGAGGGGTTTAAGGTTAAGAAAGGATTCAATGAGGCGGACAGTGATGGTTAGGTGGACATTAAAGATCCCACGGCACTATTGGAAAAGAGAAGGGAGCTTCTCTCTCTCTCCCGTCTCCCAGCCAACATTCCCCCAAATACAATAGATCACCCACTTCATGACTGTTTGTGGGGCACTGCTGTGCGCAGTTGGTTTCTACATTTCACCTACAAAATACAGTCACTGCACTTTACAGTATATCCTGTGAAGCACTCTGAGACGATAAGATGCTGTATCAAATGCAAGCATTATTATTATTATTGAGTGCTCCTGGGACTCGATTGGAAAAGAGAAGGGAGTTTCTCTCTCTCACTCACTTCATAGCTGTCACTACACTTCACAGTGAAGCTCTGTGAAGTACTTTGATATAGGCACTGTATTAAATGCAAAGACTATAACGCCCTCCTGACATGAAAGGCCCTGTGTCAATTGCAAATATCAGTTATCCTTTATGCCTCTACAACGTCCCCATTGTGACATCTCCATGGATGACTGAGGAGCCCGAGCTAGTCTGAATGTTGCTCTCCTCTCCACCACCTTGTTAAAGTTCTTGTACATTTTCAGGCTAACACTGAAGTCATTTGCTAACCTCTTGGTTACTGAATTCAGAAGACGTTGAGATCTGCCTTTCACTGAACCTTTCCTATTCACTGCTCTGAAGAGCCCAGATAATTGGACACTGTTATTGAACACAGCACCACTCCGGGATGCCACCTCAGATTGTGCGCTCTCTCCCTGGAGATACACATCCTGTTTACCTAATTCCAGAGAGAATTAGGCGCAAATTGTCAAGAGCCAAGCCTTGGGAGCCCAGAGCGTGTGTTGGGGTAACTGCTGGAGTCTAACCAGCTAAAACCACACAGCTTGCCATTGAGAACGCTGCCTGGCAAGCTTTCCCACTGCTTGTCGAGCTAGGACCACCCTATCCATGAGGGCTTTGGCTTGCAGAGTTAAGAGTTGCTGAGTGGGATGTCTCCCTGCCCCCAGTGACTGGTCTGCCTCTCCAGGTCCTGCCGATGAGCCAGGGTGGGCTGAGTTGTCTTCAGCAGTGCCCTGGAATACTGTGGACCCTCCTGGCTCAGGAACCGGACTAGAGACCGTCACAGAGGTCTGGCTCGATTTCCACATTCCGTTGCCAGGCATGTCACCTTGGAGCCAGTTCAGCTCCGAGGAGACCCTTCTCCTGTATCTCCATGCCCCAAAGGATAGTCACTAGTTTCCGTTTTTCCAGGGCAAAATGTTGGGCAAGTTTCCTTACTCTACGCGCCTCTGTTTACCTAACAGTAAGTAGGAACCCGGTTGTGAGTCAATTGGCGGATCGCTTTAGTGGGGGTAATCCCTTCAAAAAAAATAATAATTATAATAAATTGGTCACTCAATCCACGACTGTTTGTGGGACACTGCTGTGCGCAATTGGCTGCCGTGTTTCACCCACAAAATATACAGTCACTACTCCTTTACGATATATTCTGTGAAGCGCTTTGAGACGTCTCGAAGACGCGAAAAGGCGCTGTATCAAATGCAAGAATTATTATTACTATGGTTGTGACCTTGTGAATAGGGATCATCATTTGATGCTGCAGTTCAGAGCTGTGTCTCTCAGGCGTCAGGGCACTGTGGATATTGTGTCCCACAGAAATAGGATTTCAGACCATTAAACCCAGAGCGGATTGTCACTCCCTTCAACAAGCAATGTGAACCCAGGCCAAGTGTTTTAAACCAACTCTGGATTAGTGCTGAAGGATGTGGGTGGCAATGTGTCTGCTTTACCATTGAAATGCTATTAAAAAACTGCATCACAGACCAGAATTTGGAAGTTTATATAATAATAGTAATCCTTGGATTTGATACAGCACCTCATCATGACATCATAGGATTTGCTATTAAGTGTAGTGACTGTGTATTTTGTAAGTGAATACGGCAGCCAATTTGCACCGGGAAGAGAGGAACTCCCTTCTCTTTTTGAGTAGCACCACAGGATCTTTAATGTCCCCCCCCATTAACAGATCCAGACGGGACCTTGGTATAAAGTCTCCTCTGAAGGATGGCACTTCCGACACTGCGGCGCTCCCCCCAACACTACATTCCGGATCAGTCCACACCATCAGCTCGACGTCTCCTACATGAAGTTTGAACCCAGAACCGTTTAGCTCAGAGACGAGAGGACGACTGACTGATCCGGGCTGACACCTATCATCTAATAGAGTCCCGTAGGAGACCCTTCGTGAAGTGGTTAGAGGGCTCGCACAGCTCCGTTTACCTAGCAGTAAGGAGGAACCCGGTTATTAGTCGATTGACTTTCCGGGGGTAATAATCGCACCCCCTCAATCCCCCAATTTTTTTTGTCTTTCACTCCATGACTGCTGTGCGCAAATTGGGTGCCGCGTTTAGCCCACAAAATACACGTCTTTTGTGTATATAAAATATACTTTACAGTATATTCTGTGAAGCGCTTTGAGACGGCTTGAAGACTTGATAAGGCGCAAGGAATATTATTATTATTTGTGTGTTGATTTAAGCAATGATTGGTTTGCCTCCCTCAATATGTAGCAAACTACTGAATTGACTGTAGCTGTTGACAAGGTTAAGACTGAGCTGTGTTGAGCAGCAGATGGCTTTGTTGACTCTTCAAATGTCGATCAAACAATGTTGACAAGCTGCAGTTAGCTTGGAGCAGCCATCCGCAGCTCAGTGTCAATCTTTTCAGCAACTACACACAACAACTGTGCATGAAAACTCAGTCAAGTGCCTGAGCCACGCTGACACACGGTGACTGAGTCAGACTGACACACACAGTGACTGAGCCAGGCTGACTGAATAACTCAAATGTTGGAAAAGAGAAGGGAGTTTCTCTCTCACGGTGTCCTGGCCAACAATCCACCAGATAAAATTGGTCATTCACTTCATGGCTGTTTGTCAGACGTGTGCAAATTGGCTGCCGTGTTTGCCTGGAAAATACAGTCACTACACCTAACAGTAAGTCCTGTGAAGAGTTTTGAGACACTATCCCAACATGAAAGGCGCTGGACGATAATAATAATCCTTGCATTTGATATAGTGCCTTATCACGCCTTTGAGAGTCTCAAAGCGCTTCATAGAATATAATGTAAAGTGAATTAACTGTATATTTTGTGGGCAAATCGTGCATATGCAGCCAATTGCATACAGCAGTGACCCACAGCAGTCGTGGATTCAGTGACCAATTTTTTTAAAAATGGGATTATTAACCCCAGAAAAGCAATCCACCAATTAAACTTTTGCCCTGCCCAGGAATCAAACCCAGGTCATCTCGCTTGCGAGGTGAGTGCCCTAACCACTGAGCTACAGGATTCCAGAGATAAGATTATTATTATCAGCTTGACATCTCTTGCGGATTTCATGAGTTCTTTGCTGTGTCACACTGTTCTGCCCCTCACTCATTCCTCTCCCCACCATCTGCACCTTTGGAAGCAGCTGAGGGATTTGCTGTGAATCTGGGGATTCATTCGCCAGCTGCACAGTGTGTAACCTCCTGTAATGATCTTTTGCCTGCAGTGTGCTGATTGAATCTTGTTTATAAATCCCTCGGATTGTATTTTGTGTGGGCTGTTTCTAATCCCTCATTCCCTGCTCCGCTTTCCTGCTTCAGGACAGACACCAGAGGATAAAGGAAACATAAAATATACAGTCACTACACTTTACAGTATATTCTGTAAAGCACTTTAAGACATCTCAACGACATGATGAGGCGCTATATCAAAGGCAATAATTGTTATTATTAATGACATGAAGTGGGATTAAGGCCAGGATACCGAGACTCAATTAAAAAGCAGCAGGATGCTGTGATGGTAAGATGACAGGGTGGGTGTTCTGGAGGGGGGAGATCAGATGGGCTGATCAAACGGATCTTGTGATCTCATGTGATCAGCTGTATTATTGTCAGCTGCACAGACACGAGGCAGATCTAGATTTACAAACACATACTTGGCTGCCATTGAACATTATTAATGTGACTCTGCTTTCTGTTGATGTGGCCGTTTACGACTTTGTGATATTAACCAGACTGTGGATTGCCGGTGTGCCTTGTGCTCAGCTTATTTTGCCGCCTGAATGTGCTTTCCCATTTCCCTTTTTCATGTCCAGACTCAGTATGAACAAGACACAGCCCTTTCTCCAAAAGTGAGCCTGAAGCTAACTGTACTAAAAGCAGCTCTCGACCCAGGGTAGCTGTGACCTGGGGAGAGTTTACTGGCTGCCTGTGACCCACCCATGTTGTGATACACTGTTAAATCGTACAGACTGAAGTCCAGCGATGCTTACAAGAAAGCCTGGGGCAACAACCAGGATGGGGTGGTGGCCAGCCAGCCTGCGGCCAGGGTCATGGACGAACGTGAGCAGATGGCAATCAGTGGAGGCTTCATCCGCGGGTCAGATCATTAATAATAATAATCCTTACATTTAATATCACGCCTTATCACATCTTCGACACATCTCAAAGCGCTTCACAGAATAGACTGCAAAGTGAATTGACTGTATGTTTTGTGGGCGAAACACGGCAGCCAATTGTGAACAGCAGCGTCCCATAACCAGTGTCCCCTGTCTTACACCGCCTTGGTCAGACAGATGTGAGTTCAAGCCCCATGTCGGGGACATTGAGCTCACAGCCTAGGCTGATGCTCCAGTGCAGTGCTGGAGGGAGAGCTGCATTGTCGGAGGTGCCATTCAGGTGGACGTTAAAGATTGCATGAGGCTATTGGAAAAGAGAAGGGCGTTTCTCTAGCCTACTATCCTGGCCAATAAACCTCCAGATTAAATCACTCATTCACTTCATTAACAACTTTGCAAAAGTGCCTAACACATTCACTTATATACACACAGTCACTAAACTCAAGCGCTTTGAGACATCCTCCTGTCTTTCAAATGTAGAATAAGAGGACACTGGGTTAGAGCTGTAAAAGTTAGAGCTATTTCAGGACAGACACCAGGAAGTGTTTGTTTAGTCAGAGGATAATTAACGACGGGAACTCGGGTTGAGGCCAGGACACATTTGAAAATGGATGCTGTGGTGGGGGTACGTAGCGTGGGTGGGTGTTCTAGAGGGAGGAGATCAGATGGACCAAAGGGTCTTCTTCACTCAAAACCCCTCTTGATGTTGCAAAGAAAAAATGTTTCAAATGATGTGACTTACTTACCTCCTCCACCATCTGTAGCATTCGCCGGGTGCTCTCGAGTGACTGGGAAGAGAAGAGAAGAGTGTGAGATGAATCAGGCAGAAAGAGAGCCCAAAATTGGGGACAAACAGTTCAAAGAGGGAGATTCTTGCTGTTCGGAACGTCTGTGTTTTGAGGACGGTGGGGGTGGGTGGGGGTGCCAAGAAATGTAGTCAGACATGCTATAATTCGAAGTTTGAGGGTGAGTGGGGGGGTTTCTATATAATAACTGCCCCGTCCCCTCTGTTACAGCGAGTCATGATGTTAGTTCTGGTCAGCAATTCCATGTGATCTCCATCGGTCCATCGACGTGTGGATATGGGGGAGGCGTGTGGCTACGGGGGAGACGTGTGGCTACGGGGGAGACGTGTGGCTATGGGGGAGGCGTGTGGCTACGGGGGAGGCGTGTGGCTACGGGGGAGGCCTGTGGCTACGGGGGAGGCCTGTGACTACGGGGGAGGTGTGTGGCTACGGGGGAGGCGTGTAGCTACGGGGGAGGCATGTGGATATGGGGGGGGATTGAGGGAGGTGTGTGGGTATTGGTGATGGTTTGAGGGAGGTGTGTGGGTGTTGGGGCGGGTTTGAGGGAGGTGTGTGGGTATTGGGGAGGGTTTGAGGGTGGTGTGTGGGTATTGGTGGGGGTTTGAGGGAAGTGTGTGGGTATTGGGGAGGGTTTGAGGGAGGTGTGAGAGTATTGGGGAGGGTTTGAGGGAGGTGTGAGGGTATTGGGGGGGGTTTGAGGGAGGCGTGTGGGTATTGGGGGGATTTGAGGGAGGCCTGTGGGTATTGGGGAGGGAGGTGTGTAGGTATTGGGGAGGGGTTGAGGGAGGTGTGTGGGTATTGGGGGTGTTTGAGGGATGTGTGTGGGTATTGGGGAGGGTTTGAGGGAGTTGTGTAGGTATTGTGGGGTGGGGTTGCAGGAGGTGTGTGGGTATTGGGAGACAATCTGACAGCCTGGTGGGGAGCACTGACCTCGTCGGCCACTTGGCCAGCCCGCTGCTGCATGTTCTCCAGCTCGCTCCGCATATCCGTCTCGTCTGCCATGGCTAGGGCTTGATCAGGGGCTAGAGCAGGACCAGGAATGTGAACGAGGAATGGACGGCCGTCGCTTCGTGCGCAGAAGAAGAAAAACACAAAAATGTCACTCAGTCGGCTCAATAGTAATAACAGTAATAATCTTCACATTTGATATAGCACCTTATTATGTCGTCGAGACGGCTCAAAGCGCTTCAGAACATAAGAATTTGCTGGCAAAAGAAGACCAACGATCATCCCGTTTGGCTTTCCACTATCCTGGTAGTCGCTTGACATGTTGTATCCCCAAACTATAAACTGTATCCCCCCATGTTGTTTTCTAGCAGAAATACTACTAATTTGCTCTTGAAACAAACAACATGATCTGCTTCCACCTTCTCCCCTCTGGGAGCCTGTTCCATACGTTTACCACTCGCTCACTGAAGCAGTGTTTCCGCAGATTTCTCCTGAATTTACCCCCTTCAATCGCAGGCTTATCACTATCACTGGGTGATCAATTGTATTGGGGGTATTGTCGGCCAGGACACCAGGAGAGAGAAACTCTCTTCTCTTTTGCAACAGCACCACGGGATATTTAACGTCCACCTGAACAGGCAGGACCTCGGTTTAACGTCTCATGTGAAGGACATTGCAAGGCATACCCCAGCACTGCAATGGAGCATCAGCTTAGACAATGTGATTCCAAGTCCCTGATGTGGAGCTTGAATCCACAACCTACTGATTCGGAGATTAGGTTAGTCAGGCATGTCCCTCCCTTCGCGGAGAGTGTGAGATTTGCAATGCCACCTACATATGCAAATTCCATTCCACAAACACAGTCTAAGCTGACGTTCCAGCGCAGTGCTGGGGGGAGTGTTGCATTGTCAGAGGTGCCATCCTTCAGATAAGACGTTAAAGTTTAAACGTTAAACGTCTGTGCCTGTTCAGGTTGATGTTAAAGATCCTGCAACACTGTTGGATAAGAGGATGCACCGAGACAGTAGAACAAGAGGACACAGGGTTAGAGCTGTGAAACCAACAAGTGTTTCTGCACAAGGAGTCCTGCAGCTCAGTGGTTAGAGTACTCGCCTTGCAGGCGAAACCCCTGGGTTCAATTCCAGGCGGGGCGAACCTTGGGCAAATTTCCTTCCTCCACACGCCTATTAATAATCCCTCCAAAACAAAAAACAATAATAAATTGGTCATTTTCAATCTACGACTGTTTGTGGGACATTGCTGTGCGCAATTGGCTGCCGCATTTTGCCCACAAATATACAGTCAATTCACTTTACAGTATATTCTGTGAAGCGCTTTGAGATGTCTAGAAGATGTGAAAAGCCCTATATCAAATGCAAGGATTATTATTATTATTATTATTTACCCAGAAGGTAATTAACGACTGGAACAGGTTACCAGGAAGAGGTTTATGGTTGAGCTCATAGTCTAGGCTGGTACTCCAGTGGAGTGCTAGGGGTGCACCGCATTGTGGGAGATGCTGTCCTTTTGAACACAGCAAATTGGATTTATTTAGTGCCCTTCACAAAGGACAAGTTTCCTTACTCACACGCCTCTTTTTATCCAGCAGTAAATAGGAACCCGGTTGTTAGTCGATTGGCGGATCACTTTTCCGGAGATAAGAATTCCTTCAAAAAAATAATAATAATAATCCTTGCATTTGATATTGCGCCCAATCACGTCATTGAGACGTCTCAAAGCACTTCATAGAATATACTGTAAAGTGAATTGACTGTATACTTTGTGGGAAAAATGCAGGAGCCAATTGCGCACAGCAGTGACCCACAAACAGTCGTGGATTGAGTGACCATTTTTCTTATTAGCAATGTGACGGAAGTGGAGGAAAGCAGTCCTGGTCAGGGACCGGATGTGGTGGAGCTGGGAATTGAACCTGATGCCAAGGTTACACACAAGTTCAGTGGATCTGATAGGCTGGGGAGGCTGAGGAGGTCAGAGCCACAGGTGAGAAGACATTGATGGCAGTTGACTCCTGGTTTGGGACATGTCGAAGACATGATAAGGCACTACATCAAACGCAAGAATTATTATTATTATATTCTCTCATCTCAAGACCCTTCTCTTTGACCGCACCTTCGTTGTTGTTGTTGTTGTCATCTCGACTACAGCTGGCTATGAACTTGGGCAGGGCAGAGGCGAGTCGGAGGGAGTGTGGGCTGGAGGTCCGGGGAAGGGGGATGAGGAGAGAGGACAGAGTGGGCTTGGGCTTGGTCATAGCCCCAGGTGGAATTTTTCCCCAAATCTGTACTTATCCTGGATTTTAATCTCCGGATACTTTGTCAGCCAAATGGCTTACCAATTGTATGTGAGCTTTATCTGGCAGTTTGCAGTGTGGGAAGGTGGGAATAACATTGCTAATTATTCCCCTGGTGTTGTGGCTTCCTGTTAGCACACCCCCGAGTATTTCTGGTCCCTGACGTGGACCGTTCTGTTTCTTTCTTCCTGAAGATTACAAGATTAGGGGAGCACAAGAGAGCTGGAAATAGACTGGACATAGCAACACAGAACGGTGGGACGCATAGTCTAAGATGACCCTCCAGTGCGTGCTGGGGGGGAGCACTGCATTGTTAGAGGTGCCGGCCTTTGGATGAGATGTTAAAACGAGATCCTGTCCTTTGCCTGTTCAGGTGGATCCAGTGACTGGCCTAGCCCTGCATGGCCTGCCAAGCTGCCAGGCTGGCTGGTCTGTCATCAAGAGTGACCTGGAATACTGCTAGCATTTAATATACAGCCTCATTGTATCGATTTTTTTTGCTGGGTGTCTGATTAATGCGGAAACCCATCGATTAAGAGTATCCAGAGAGCAGAGAATTCCCTGCAGCCCACCTACATGTGGAAATCCCAGAGATGGGTTATTGGAATGGAATGCGCACTCTCTCCCTGGAGGGACACATCCTGTTTACCTAATTTCGGAAAGTATTAGACACAGGATGGCAAAAGCCAAGGCTTGGGGACCCCAGAGGGTGTGTTGGGGTAACTGCTGAAACCACCATTAAGACGTTTTAAACATGTAAATCCTATAGCTTAAACTTTCCTCCAACATTTTTTCGGTCATCCATCGTAAATCCTAACTTCATGGATTTATGTATAAATTAGTGCAGTTGTGCAGTTTGACCCCAACTAAAATAGAGCGAATGGCTTTAAGCCACAGTGATGAGTTTATATAACACCATCCATTATGTAAGTTTCTGCATCATGCTGAATACAGATAAGAACTATTGTTTAACAGCTCCTGCTAAAATCCAAACATCAGGGTTATCACTGCTCTGTTATTAGTGCTTTGAGACGCTGCCCTGCGTGGAGTGTGCTACATAAGTGCAAGCTGTTATGTTGTTGCTGCACCGTCCCACACAACCACCCAGCCCATTATTCCAATGCCGTCTTTCAGATGAGACGTTAAACCGAGGTCCTGTGTGTCACTGTACAGGTGGACTTTAAAGATCCCGCGACACTATTGGAAAAGAGAAGGGAGTTTCTCTCTCCCAGTGACCTGGCTGACAATCCCCCAGATAAAATTGTTCACTCACTCTATGACTGTTAGTGGGACATTGCTGTGCGCACTTCACAATAATGAATGTGAAGCACTTTGAGACGTGTTTCTGACGTTATAAGGCAATATATCAAATGCAAGGATTATTATTATTATTATTATTCCATGCCGGGCTTTGATCTCCCAGAAGCAATCCATCCTATACATGCGTGGAGACTGTACAGCAGAGAAACCAGCCAGTCTGTGCTGGTGTTTATACTCGACACAATCTCCACCCACACACACAGAGCCTGAAAAGCACACTTATACACAAACGTGCAGACAAGAGTTGTTTGTCACGGTCCTACATTTAACAGGGTAGGTCAACGGCAATTTATAATATAGTAATAATAATCCTTGCATTTAATATAGTGCCTTATCACACTATTGACATGCTTCACAGCAGTCACTATATATTTTGTTGGTGAAACAAAGCAGTTGCACACAGCAATGTCCCACAAACAGCCAAGAAGTGAGTGACCGATTTTATTTGGGGCATTGACGGCCTGGACACTGGGAGTGAGAAACTCCCAGTGTCCACAGTCACTGCACTTGACAGTATATCCTGTGAAGCACTTTGAGATGTCTCGACTTGACGTCATGATCAGGTGCTATATCAAATGCAAGAATTATTATTATGAATAATGTAATTTACATTCATACGGAGCCTTTGACTTTGGGAGGATATCTCAAAGCACTTGGTGGGCTCTAGATCGGGGGTGGTGGTGGTGGTGGCGGGGGGGGGGAAGGGGGGGGTGTGCAAAGCAAATGGGGCAAGGGGGAAAAAGATTACCAAAAGTCTGTCTTGGTCAGAGGAAGATGGTGATGTGTTTCATTGCAGAGGGCTCTCGACAGGTTCTGGAGGCCTAAGCAATTATCCAGGGCTTAAGTACAGTGACAGCTGTGACACTGAGCCTATTGAATCTCTCCTGGAGCAGTATGACTGACTCACTGCCTGGGAAATGGGGTCAGGCTGCTGGGAGAGGCTGTGCCAAACTCCTCCATCTGGCACAGATCAAAGGCGTCTGAACAGATCACGAACGTTTGTCTCCTCTCTGTGAGATTTTACTTGAATTATCCATGTACAGTATTGGAAATAGACTCCTTTCAGTCCAGGAACACGGGTGGGAGGAGACGAGGAGACATTTATTTTCCCCCAGAGAGTTGTTACGGTCTGGAATGCACTGCCTGAAAGGGTGGTGGAAACAGATTCAATAGTAGCTTTCAAAAGACAATTGGATAGGTACTTAAAAAAAATATACAGGGCTTTGGGGTAAGAGTGGGACTAGTTGGTAGCTCGTTCAAAGAGTCGGCACAGGCACGATGAGCTAAATGGCTTCTCTAGATATTTTTATAAAATTCATTCTTCACCTGCAATACCAGACAGACTTTTGCTGAGCAGAGGGTGCGGTTTGGAGGGGGAGAAGACTCAAAGGTTTTTCTTTGCTCAACCAGGTACCTGACACATGCGGGAACCCATCACTGTGCTTAAGAGTATCCAAACCAAGCTGACGTTTCCATGCATCCCACCTACACATGGAAATCTCAGAGAGAGATTGTTGGAATGGAATACGCACTCTCTCGCTGGAGGAACACATCCTGTTTACCTAATTCCGGAAAGTATTAGGCGCAGGTTGGCAAGAGCCAAGGCTTGGGGATCCCAGAGTGTGCGTTGGGGTAACTGCTGGAGTCTAACCAACTTGCCATTGATATTGCTGTCTGGCAAGCTTTCCCACTGCTTGTCAAGTTAGGACCTACCCATTAGGGCTTTGGCTTGTAGGGTTAACAGAGCTGAGTGGGAGAGTTCCCTGCTCCCATTGGCTGATCTACCCTTCCACGGCCTGCTGATGAGCCTGTGTTGTTATCAGCAGTGCCCGTCTGGCTCAGGAACCGGATTAGAGACCATCACAGAGGGGCTGGTTCGATTCTGACATTCCGCTGCCAAACATGTCACCTTGGAACCAGTTCTGCTCCAAGGAGACCCCACAAGGAGGATAGTCATTAGCTGGTCATTTGACATCCGACAAGTATGGGTTTGAGCCTCACTAGGTGGTGGTAGGTAAGAGGAATTCCCTGCAAGCTTTCCGGTGTCAACACATCTCAGTTCAAATGCTACCAAATTCCTGTCCACAGTGACTGAGCCAGGCTGACACACACAGTGACTGAGCCAGGCTGACACACACACAGTGACTGAGCCAGACTGACACACACACAGTGACTGAGTCAGGCTGACACACACAGTGACTGAGCCAGGCTGACACACACACAGTGCCTGAGCCAGGCTGACACACACACAGTGACTGAGCCAGGCTGACACACACAGTGACTGAGCCAGGCTGACACACACACACAAAGTGACTGAGCCAGGCTGACACACACACAGTGACTGAGCCAGGCTGACACACACACAGTGACTGAGCATCTCTGAGATTGTCAGCCAGGACACCGGGAGAGAGAAACTCTGTTCTCTTTTTGAATAGCGCTGGGGAAGTTTAACGTCTATCTGAACAGGCACAGATGGGACCTCTGTTTAATGTCTGTCCGAAGGATGAGGCCTCTGGCAATGCAATGCTCCCCCCAGCACTGCACCGGAGAGTCAACCTGGTCTGAACTCACGTCCCCAACATGGGACTGGAACCCCAACCTTCTGACTCAGAGGCCAGAATCATTACCAACTGAGCCAGGCTGACACACACACAGTGACTGAGCCAGGCTGACACACACAGTGACTGAGCCAGGCTGACACACACACAGTGACTGAGCCAGGCTGACACACACACAGTGACTGAGCCAGACTGACACACACACAGTGACTGAGCCAGGCTGACACACACAGTGACTGAGTCAGGCTGACACACACACAGTGACTGAGCCAGACTGACACACACACAGTGACTGAGCCAGGCTGACACACACACAGTGACTGAGCCAGACTGACACACACACAGTGACTGAGCCAGGCTGACACACACAGTGACTGAGCCAGGCTGACACACACACAGTGACTGAGCCAGGCTGACACACACACAGTGACTGAGCCAGACTGACACACACACAGTGACTGAGCCAGGCTGACACACACACAGTGACTGAGCCAGGCTGACACACACACAGTGACTGAGCCAGGCTGACACACACACAGTGACTGAGCCAGACTGACACACACACAGTGACTGAGCCAGGCTGACACACACAGTGACTGAGCCAGGCTGACACACACACAGTGACTGAGCCAGGCTGACACACACACAGTGACTGAGCCAGACTGACACACACACAGTGACTGAGCCAGGCTGACACACACACAGTGACTGAGCCAGACTGACACACACACAGTGACTGAGCCAGGCTGACACACACACAGTGACTGAGCAGGGCTGAGACACACAGTGACTGAGTCAGGCTGACACACACACAGTGACTGAGCCAGACTGACACACACACAGTGACTGAGCCAGGCTGACACACACAGTGACTGAGCCAGGCTGATGCAATGTTTCAAAGTGCTCCCCAGGTAAATGCTGTTTAATTGCGCACAACATGGAGTGAGTGACCAGGTTTATCTTGGGAATTGTCGGCCAGGACATTGGGAGAGAGCGAGAGAGAGAAACTCCCATCTCTTTTCGAATAGTCCCACGGGATCTTTAACATCCACCTGAACAGACACAGACAGGACCTTGGTTGTTCTCCTATCAAACACACAGTCACTACACTTTACAGCAAATCCTGTGAGGCGCTTTGAGACGTCCTCTCGACGTGAAAGGCGCTGTATCAAAAGCGAGGATTGTTGGTTATTTGCATTTAAAACAATAACATCTTTTTTTTTTAGATTTTTCTTTCTTCAGTCCCACGAAAGGGAATCGGTGCTGTGATGGGACAAGCAGCAGGAATGTCAGAGTGAGACAATCGCAATGAGTTGTGCTGAGCGTCAGGTGGTAAGAGCAGCGGTAAAGACTCACAAGGTCTTATGTAAGTGTAACATGCTACCAGGCCATGTGACAGGAGGTGGCCAGGAGACAAGACACGCTCCTCGTTCTCCACAGGAGGCCAGCTGACACTCGCTCGGCATTAAACCCTCCTTCACCTCACCACACACCCAGCTATTCCCATCTCTGTGAAAGCAGGGCCTTTAAACCCATCCAGCAACCATCCAGCAGATATTAAACAACAAAATAACATTTGCATAGCGCCTCTCATGTCGGGAAGGCATCCCGAGGCGCTAAAGTGCAGAAGTGACTTGGAAATCTCCCTCAGATTGTTAAAGCACGGAAATATAGAAGTTCATGACACAAAAGAAGATCATTCAGCCTATCGTGTCTGTGATGCTCCTTTAAGCGCAATCCTAGAATCATACACGCAGAAGGAGGCCATTTGGCCTAATGTACCTGTGTTGGCTCTTTGAAAGAGCTACCAACTGGTCCTGCTCCCCCGCTCTTATCCCATAGCCCCGCACATTTTTCCTTTTCAAGTACCGATCCTACTCCCTTTTGAAATCGTTTCAGTCCCATTTCACTGTCCTTTCTCCACACTCCACCTCGCTTCCCATCACTCTTTACGTTGCCTTGTGTCAACTTGTGAGAGGCCGTGGGGAGAGTGACAGGAAGCGAGGCGCAGCGGAAATATTTTAATAAGATGTTGTTGCATGTTTTGCAATGTTGCTAATGCCACCCGCGGCCGTTTCTCAAATCCAGCATCTGGCCCTCAGCAACAACAGCAAATGACATTTACACAGCACCTTTCAAGTCGAGAGGACATCCCAAGGCGCTGGAGAGTCAGGCATTTGGATCCTAGCAGGGGTTTGGGATCAGGAGGGGTGTAGGGCGGGGGGGGTTGGGGTGGGTGGTCGAAAGCGTGGTCGAAGATGAGGGTCTTGAGACGTGCTTTCAATGAGGCAAGCGAGGGAGCGAGGCGAAGGGACTGTGGGATGGAGTTCCAAAGGGTGGTGGGAAGAGAAGCTGAAGGCTGACCGCCGATCGTGGGGTGGGCATGGCGGGGGGGTGTCGCAGGCTGGAGTCTGCTGAATGGAGCAAACGGACAGGTTAATAAGGGGTTAGCAGATCACAGAGGTAGGAAGGAGCAAGGCCATGGAGGGCTTTGAAGGCGAGGGCAAGGAGTTTGAAATCTATCCTCTGGGGGATGGGAAGCCAGTGGAGCCGGACGAGGGTGGAGTTGAGCCAAAAGATCGGACTCCCCTGAGGTAAGGCATTAATATGTCTGATCTGTGCCTGCTCAGGTGGACGTTAAAGATCCCGCGGGACTATAGGAAAGAGAAAGGAGTTTCTGTCTCTCAGTGTCCTGGCCAACAATCCCCCAGATAAAATCAGTCACTCACTCCATGGCTGTTTGTGGAACACTGCTGTGCGCAAATTGACTGCTGTGTTGACTCACAAAATTTAGAGTAAATCCTGTGAAGAAGGTCAGAGCGGGTAATATGACTCATACTTTCCCCTCCGCCTCTCTTTCCGTCACTCTCTGTGGTAAAACACTGAAGTCAGAAATAGTTTGTGGGCCAGATTAAATTTTTCCCCGGGCCAGATGCGGCCCGCGGGCCGCCCATTGAACCACTTGAAGGACAATACTGTGCTCCCCCAGTGCAGAGTGTCAGCCTGGACTATACAGGTTCCAACTACAAGTGACATGGGAGCTTGAACCCTCAAACCCTCTGATTCAGATGTGGGAGTGGGGCAGAATGAGCCTTTGATCCAGTGCGTTCAACTACCAAACAGGGGAATAGAGGGGTGTGGGAGAGGGAATAAAGGGGTGCGGGAGAGGAGAACAAAGGGGTGCGGGAGAGGGAATAAAGGGGTGCGGGAGAGGAGAACAGAGGGGTGCGGGAGAGGGAATAAAGGGGTGCGGGAGAGGAGAACAGAGGGGTGCGGGAGAGGGGAACAGAGGGGTGCGGGAGAGGAGAACAGAGGGGTGCGGGAGAGGGGAACAGAGGGTGCGGGAGAGGGGAACAGAGGGGTGCGGGAGAGGGGAACAGAGGGGTGCGGGAGAGGGAATAAAGGGGTGCAGGAGAGGAGAACAGAGGGGTGCGGGAGAGGGAATAGAGGGGTGCGGGAGAGGGGAACAGAGGGGTGCGGGAGAGGGGAACAGAGGGGTGCGGGAGAGGGGAACAGAGGGGTGCGGGAGAGGGAATAAAGGGGTGCAGGAGAGGAGAACAGAGGGGTGCGGGAGAGGGGAACAGAGGGTGCGGGAGAGGGGAACAGAGAGGTGCGGGAGAGGGAACAGAGGGGTGCGGGAGAGGGAATAAAGGGGTGCAGGAGAGGAGAACAGAGGGGTGCGGGAGAGGGGAACAGAGGGGTGCGGGAGAGGGGAACAGAGGGGTGCGGGAGAGGGGAACAGAGGGGTGCGGGAGAGGAGAACAGAGGGGTGTGGGAGAGGGGAACAGAGGGGTGCGGGAGAGGGAATAAAGGGGTGCGGGAGAGGGAATAGAGGGGTGCAGGAGAGGGAATAGAGGGGTGCAGGAGTTGAGTACTGTCAGAATGAGATTGATGGATACATATAAACAACTAATAACCCATGATACAGGTTTCTCAACAACAACAACTTGCAGATATACAGCGCCCTCCATGCAGGCTCTGAGCCGGGGGGGGCGGGGGGGGGAAGAGAAGGGGGAGGTGGTCATAAGCACGGTCAAAAAGGAAGGTTTTCAGGCTGGACTTGAGAAAAGGGACAGACTGGGCAAGGCGGAGGGATTGAGGGAGAGTGTCCCAGAGGTTTTGGGCGGAGCGGCTGAATGCGCGACCTCCAATGGTGGAGTGGAGGGCACGAAGTACAAGCAGGAGGCCGGTGCCGGTCGAGCGGAGGCCCCGGGTAGTGAATTGGGGAGTGAGGAGGTCGGAAGAGGTAGGGAGATGCCAGGGAGTGAAGGGATTTGAACACGAGTGTGAGGATCTTGAAGTCGATCTGTTCGGTGATGGGGAGCCAGTGGAGCCTGGGCCAGAACTGGTGAGATGTGGGTATGGAGTTTGGTCCGGGTCAGTATGTGGGCAGCAGAGTTTTGAATGAACTGATCTTGTGACTGGTGGAGCTGGGGAGACCGGCGAGGAGCGCGTTGGGTAATCCAAGTGGGAGGTGATGACAAACGCATGCACGAGGGTTTCGGCAATGTGGTGGAGGTGGAGGAAGGTGATCCTGTGAGGGACCAGGAGTGGGGAATGCTCCCAATTAAAATTAAGTATGTTTATCCAGCGGATGAAGGAATGAAATTAAACGCCAATTAACTGACAGATTATCATTACTGATGGATGTTTAAAAAAAGACTAAACTTAATAATAATCCTTGCATTTGATATAGCACATCATTGAAATGTCTCGTGCTTCATAGCATACAAAGTATAGTGACTGTATAATTTGTGGGCAAAACGCGGCAGCCTGTGTAATTTGTAGAGCGTACTCAATGTTCCACAAACAGCCATGAAGTGAATGACCAACTTTATTTGGGGAACTGTCGGCCAGGATGAGAGAAACTCCCTTCTCTTTTCCAATGGCGCTGCAGGATCTTTAACACCCACCTGAACAGGCACAAACGGGACCTTGGTTTAACGTCTCATCTGCAGGACTGCACCTCTGAAAATGCAGCGTTCCCCCCTATACTGTTGGAGGGTCAGTGAGCTCAAAGGCCTGACGTGAGATTTGAACACACAACCTTCTGACTCAGAGGCGAGAGCCTTCGGGCTACCACTGAGCCAGGCTGACACGTATAATGCAAAATTCTTGTATTTGGTGAATTCAATTCATAACTGTCCCTGTCAATTCCTCTCGATAACCTGGGAGTTCACTGCGTGTGTGAAAAATAGTTGCTGTATTTGGCCGTAAATTTCAGCCCAACACAAAGTTACGCAGAGCGATCGATGCGGAAACATTCAGCCCAACTAGGCGGTGCCAGTGTTATACTCGTGGAGACCTGTAACGTAGAGGTTAGCGCACTCGCCTCGCAACAAGAAGACTCAGGTTTGATTCCCGGGCGGCGCAAAACCTTAGGCAGGTTTTCTTACTCCACTCTGCTTACCAACAGTAAGTAGGAACCTGGTTGTTAGTCGATTGGCAGATCGCTTTTCCGGGGGTAATAATCCCTTAAAAAAATTTAAAAGTAATAATTTTGTCATTCAATCAACAACAGTTTGTGGGACACTGCATTGCCTAATTGACTGCCACGTTTCGCCCACAAAATATACAGTCAATTAACTTTACAGTAAAAATGTGTGAAGCGGTTTGAGACTCTCAAAGACGTGATCAGCTGCTCTACCGAATGCAAGGATTATCATTACTACTCTGCACAAGTCTCTACCCCTCTATTCTCCTCTCCCACACCCTCTATTCCCCTCTCCCACATCCCTCCATTCCCCTCTCCCACATCCCTCTATTCCCCTCTCCCACACCCATCCATTCCCCTCTCCCTCGTATCTGTATCAAGTTTTTTCTTACATAAATTGATGCTTTTTGTTTCACCCACAGCTACCGGCAGTGAGTTCCACACTCTTCCCCTGTGTGTTCTCCACCTTCCTCCCTGTTTGTGACTACCTTATATTTAACCCATCACAATGATCAGCCGGTTGTCTGACCAACATGAAAACCCATCACCATGATCAGCTGGGTGTCTGACACACGCTTAAACCCATCACTGTAATCAGGTGGATGTTAAAGATCCTGAGGCACTGTTGGAAAGAGAAGAGAGTTTCTCTCTCCCAGTGTCCTGGCCGACAATCCCCCCGAATAAAATTGGTCACTCATTCCATGGCTATTTCTGAGACATTGCTGTGTGCAAATTGGCTACTGCGTTCACCCACAAAATACACTCACTACAACAACAACTTTATTGCTATGCCAATAACAACCACAACAACAAGATTGCATTTGTATAGCGCCTTTCACGTCGGGAGGACGTCCCAAGGTGCTGGACAGTGTACAGCATTTCAGACCCGAGCTGGGGTCGGGGGGGTAAGGGAGGGGAGGGGAAGCGGGGTGGCCGATGGCATGGTCGAAGAGGAGGTCTTGAGGCAGGACTTGAAGGAGGCTAAGGAGGGGGCGAGGCGGAGTGACTGGGGAATGGAATTCCAGAGGTTGGGGCAGAGTGCCTGAAGGCTCTCCCGCCAATGGTGGGACGGGTGGGTCGGGGGACGTGGAGCAGTCCAGAGCCGGCTGAGCGGAGGGAACGGGCGGGTTGGTAGCGGGTTAGGAGGTCGCAAAGATAGGGTGGGGCGAGGCCATGGAGGGCTTTGTAG